TTCAGCATCTTAGCTGCAGAGGGCAGTGTCACTGGCCCTCATATGTGGGATCCGAACCGGGGCCCTCTGGCATCCCAAGCGAGTTCTTAACCATTGCGCCACTCGGCCGGCCCCCAAGCCAGTTCTTAACCATTGCGCCACTCGGCCGGCCCACGTTGCCACACTTCTTATGTTTAGACTAATAGTTCATCCTAAAATGGAGTGAGATAAAAGACAATGCATATTGGATACTGAGAGGGCTATGTGTTGAGAAAACATTGCCTCTGATGAGCATGTTACTCATGGATTTTGACCCTTTTTCTTCAGTTTTTCAAGTCTTGCATTGGGTCACTGTATGATATTAATTTGTGAAACTTATTCTTTGCCGTCGTAAAATAACGTAATCCTTCCCTGTCCCCTAAAAGATGTTGGGAGGATGTGAGCTTATAGTTTAAAAGCAGAGTGGAAGAAGCAGCTGGATATGATGATTATTGAGTGGATGCCATATTTTTTCCTTTAGAGAGATCAGAGGTGCCATGTTGAGAATCCACAGATAATATAAGAGAAACTTTAATTCAGGTTGTGATATCCATGATTTAGTCTTTGATATAGCTCTAGGGGCTCCTGAGAAGCTCATTTCACATTCTTTGCCTAGAAACTGATAAAGAGACCAAAATGAGACTAATATTATAACATTTATTGAACTCTCACCCTGTGTCAGGCACTGTGGTAAGCACTTTAAGTTCTAAGAGCCCAGGACACAGTAAGTCCTTAAAAAAAAAGTTTATCACCATTCTTATTACATGTATCATCTCATTCAATTCACCCAATAGCCCTGTGAAATTGTGACTATTTATCCCATTTTGTAGATAAGGAGCTTGAGGGACAGATTGGTTAAGTAACTTGCTCAAGGTCAGACAGCTAGTAAGTTGAAGAGCCAGGACTCAAATAAGGCAGTCTAACTCCAAGATCTGTACTCTTAGTTAGTACTCTGTAGGAATGTTTCTTAATCTGAGAGATGGCATACATAAAGAGCTTAAAGGATTATTTCTGTTTATTTTTTTTTCACTTTGGTTTTGTATTTATATTTTTGATAGCCTTTTTTGTGTCTTGAGTTTATATATAGTTTTTGTTTTGTTTTAAAGATTTTTATTGGGGAATTGGGGGAAGGGGAACAGACAAGTTGCTGTTGTCCTTTTTTGTTCTTCAGTCTAGTTGTGGAGGACGTTGCTTCACTGGCCCAAGTTGGCACCATCATTGCACTCTTCCTGGGAGAGGCAGATCAGTTGCCGGCTTCTGGACGGCCGCTCAAGCTGGCTGCTGGCTACACACGGTAGCCCATGGCAACCCACTGCAGCAGGGGCTACAGCCTACGCCATTGCCTGCGACTCACAGCAGCCCAGCTCCAGGTTGAGCTGTTGTTCAGCATCTTAGCTGTAGAGGGCAGTGTCACTGGCCCTCACATGTTGGATCTGAACCGGGGCCCTCTGGCATCCCAAGCCAGCTCTTAACCAACGCGCCACTCGGCCAGCCCAATATATATAGTTTTTAAAAGAAGTACGGAAGGCCTATCAAGTTTTCATAAAATATTTTATTGGAGAAAGGTGTTGGTAACTGGCCCGTTTGGTAATTATGGTTGCTATCCATAGAATCTTTATGTTCTACCATGGAAGAGATCAGATAATAAGTAAAAACCCTAATCAGGTAATAACTTAAGCATAAGTAAAATTAGAAGCCTTAACTAATGTTCCATATAATGTAGGATAAAGTTCAGACTCCTTCCCATGGAAGATAAGACCCCTCCTGATATGGTCCCTGGGCAACTTGTAGTCTTATCTCCCACCATTCTGCACTCCAGTGTACTTTTGTGCTGCTGGACCTTTGCATATGCTATTTTCCCTTTTCTTTCCCCCTTTTCTGTCAGATGAGCTGTTACTTATGCTTAATAAGTAAAACTATAATGTCTTATATATGTGAAGCCATCCCTCACCTGTCCAGGAGAGTTAGGTGGCTTCTTTTCTATATACTGTACTAATGACGTTATAACATAATTATTGGTATACATTTCTACTACTGCCACGAGACTTTGAACCCTTCCCCACAGGTGTCACATTCTATTTGTCATTCCTTAGCTTTTATCTTTTCCTGGCTCATAATAGGTGCTTAATAAGTATTTAATAAATCGGGTATACTTGTGTGATAGAGATTGTACATTTGGGATAGTTAATGATAACCTATATTTTTTTAGATGCATGTTTGGGAAAACTGGTAATTCCCTCTCACCGGTTGAAATTTGATATGTTTCAGGGTCCAGACCAAAGACTACCTCTTCCTGATAGACTTGCTTAAATTCACTTGCCCCACAGTTAAAATTTTCCCCTCTTCTAGGTTATCAAAACTTTGTCAAAGCACTTTTAATTCTTCTCTGTATTACAGTTTTTATGGGCCTTTTCCACTAGAACCTTTTATTAGAATAGGATTCATGTTTTATTCATCTTTGCTTCTCCCTTAGCATTTTAGAAACAGTAGATACATAATAAATATTTATTGAATTAAGTACAATATATTTTTTTGATAGCTGCCATGGTCCTTCAGTTGAAATGAAAGCTATAGCCTGCTATTTGTCTCAAGGTGTAATTTCCATTTTTTCCTTCTTCCTTGTTTAGACAAGGAAATATCTGATGAGGAAGAGTTTGGAGATGGCAATTCAGAGGGACTGGGTCTGGAGGAATCAGATGAGGACGCCACGAGTGCTGCTGAGGAACAGGAGTGTGGTGGTGATGCGGACAGTAGTCTGGCCCAGAGGAAGGGGAGCAGAAGCTGCTCCGGGAAAACACCAGGCTTCAGTGTCCAGTACATCAGTGACTTTGAAAAATTTACTGAGGGAATGGATGAGCTTGGTAGCAGTGAGGAGGAGGAAGATGAAGATGAAGAGGAGGAGAGTGGCATGGAAGAAGGGGATGGTGAGGAAGACTTCGAGGTTGACAGTGAGGGAGACAAGGCTGAAGACAGGACCAGTGAAGATGATGGTGTGATGATGACCTTCTCCAGTGTCAAAGTTTCTGAGGAAGTGGAGAAAGGCAGAGCTGTGAAGAACCAGATAGGTTTGTACATGGTTTGCTGTTTGCTTATTTTTCAGTGTCTGCATTTGATGTCCTTTTTGTTTGTTTGTTTGTTGGTTGGTTTGTTTGTTTTTGGCTGTTCGCTCTCTCCTGTGTCCTTCCAATTAGTTTGTGACATGCCCCACTTACCTGGAGGCTTAAAGCCCCATTGTTCTATGCTTAGCCAGCCATTTCTACACTGAGCTGCTTAGCTGGTTCTGCTCTAGTACTTCCTGCAACTGTGGAAGATTGAAGAGAAGAGTGTTTTCGCCTCTCGTTGGGCTTTTTAGCATTCTCTCTCATGTAGCAAATATTTGCTTCCAAGAAAACGAATTTATTTTCTATAATAGAGAGTGTTTCCATGGCATGAAACTGTGATAAAGCTGTGCTGCTTAGAGACTGGTGTGGTTTCCTGTCCCTTTCCCCTTCCTCTAACTTGTATAGTGGAAGATTGTATTACTGAGGAAGGGAATTCTTTTTTCTTTCTCAGCACTGTGGGACCAACTCTTGGAAGCAAGGATCAAACTACAAAAAGCTCTGCTGACTACCAATCAGCTTCCTCAACCAGATGTCTTCCCTGTTTTCAAGGACAAAGGTGGCCCAGAATTTGCCAGCGCTGTAAAAAATAGTAAGAATACGTACTTATGCCATATTGAGATACTTAGAAATCCAGTGGGTACATTGGGATACACTGCAGTTGTATTTGCATCACCACATAGTTGAAGAAAAGAAGATGTGTTTTAGTGACAATATTGTATGAAATAGTAATTTTTAATTAGAAAAAAATAGCAATGGAACTCTTATCAAATGAAGATAACTGACTGAAATGGATTGGGTGCTTGAGTCATGTCTTTGATGCTTTTTTTCTTACCTGCCCCCTCCCCTCTCCTTGGCTTTCTGAGTTACTTTTAACGCTCAGAGAACAACACTCTTTGAAAATCCATTGGTACAGGACAAAAGGGAGAGAATGAATGACTAAACTCAGTTCACTTAAGGTGGTTGTATCACATGCTTAAAAGATGCCTTTATTGGGAGGTTTCTAGAACAACATGCTAAAATTATTCATATCTTCCTTGGGGTTGCATAGAATGAGGAAAGATGATGACTGTAGACAGAGGAAAAAGTTTTGGAATAGATTAGTGAGCTAAAAAGTCCATGAATTTTAGAAGAGAAAAGAAATTAATTTTAGAAATTATTGGGTTCCTAGTCCCTTCATTTTACAGATGAGAGAACTGTGGCCCAAAGAAAAGGAGTTGCCCAAAGCTACAGAGCTTTTTCATGCACGGCAGAGAGAAAACTCCAGCTTTTCTGCCTTATGATCTTGGAGTCTTGCTTCTGCACCACACTCCCTCCTATGTGCTGTGTGCCTGGGTGCCCAGTGGCACCAGAGGCCTGGGGCAGAGGGAAATTTGGGGGGAATGTACTCGGGTTGGAATTGCTATTCTTCGTTTACCTGCTGAGACTTAGTGTTTTCATTTGCTCTTTAAAACTTATATCATGGAGTAGAGTTGGAACAGACCCGAGGAGGATGTCTGATTTGGTGTCTGCCTTTAGGTAGAATCACCTTAAATCATTGAAAATAAATAATGTAGAATTTCTAGGGAAGGGGATTCTGTGAGCCTTTCATGTAGGAGAATACCTGGTTTAATTAGGAATTCCTAGTGTCCAGTCTTTAGATTATATGTCCTGCCACATTTGAAGTCTGTTTCCTATGTGAAAGGCCTGGTTAATCCTCAGGAACTGTCAAGATACTGTGAAGGTGGGCCTTTTATATTCCCTCCCCCAGCGTTTCCTCCTTCCTTCCTTAAATAAAGGCTATATTGTCAGTTTTCAAAATTTTTGAGATTTTTTTGGAGCACTTCTCTGCTATTTTTGATGCCCTAGTACCCTAATTTCTGGTATGCCTTGGAATGAGACCTAGACTGCGCTAGATGAAATGTTTGAAATGTTTCAGATAAGATTTTTTCCATTTTGTTACTCTTCTTGCTCAAGCCTTTCCTTTTTTTTTTTTTTTGAGTCATCTTAAAATATAGATATTTTAAGGGTTAGTGTGAGGTATAATGGACATGTTTTTATTCTTGGATACAGTTTAGTTTCTTTAGCTATTTTAATGTTATTTAACATTTTGCAGCAGTTCTGATCTTTTTAATTTGTCTTTATTTATTTATTTATTTATTTATTTATTTATTTATTTATTTTATTTAACCAATTGCCTCTTTGCCTCGTTGGTGAACTCCAATTAATCTGACAGGATGTTTATTAATCTGATAGGTGAGTTGTGGTGGAGGAGGGAAAAAAAATAAAGGAATGTTTGTTTGGTATCACATAATTTAAGATGGGAGAGTGGAGAGTTTTCTAATAACCAGAATTTCTGCGTGTCTAACAGGTAGTTAATTTTTGTTTGTTTCCAACATTCTTACGACAATATGCTATATACCGCCCTGTCTTGTAAAAAGAGTTTAAGAAAATTTCTTGGCTACATTACCTCCCTGTCTTAGTAAACAGAGTTTAAGAAAAATTTCTTGGCTGCAGTACTCTGATGAACAGTTTATAATGTGCTACATAGCTGGTATGGAACATATTCTGTATTTGTACTGACCCCAGAACAAACATTGGAACTTATTGTCTTTAACTAAATGTCTTTTCAGTTTGCTTGGTCTTACAGCAGTTAAAGTCAGACTGCCTGAGTTTAGATTCCATCTTAGACATGGATCAACCATGTGACCTTGGGCAAGTTACTTACCTTCACAATAAAATGGTGATAATATAGTTGTGAGGATTAAAGGACATCATCAATATAAAACATTAGCACAGTATCTGGCACACAGCACACGCAAATGGTAGGTATGAGTATTATCTTTGCCTGTTGAAAGAGGCATTTGGCAGTGTTCAGCCATGCGAGTGATGGTCATCATTATAATGAACCATCATCCCCTCTGTCTTCAGTGTTTTTTGACTTTTTATTAGTATTCACATTACTTATATCATTTAAATTAACCATTTGTTCTGGAAAGTAGGTAGTGTTATATTCTACTGTAATACCTATAATTCAGCTTTTGCCTCTTATGCGTATGGCCCAAGGAAAGGTGACCAGAGGTTTCCTTATTGTCAAACCTACCCACTGCCTCCCAAAGCAGTCAACCTTTCTTTGAAATATTTCCCTTTGGCTTTGATGACACTGCATATGTTATTTCGGTTCTCTTGCCTTTCTGATTTCATCTCAGACTCTTCTTAATGTCATTTTCATTGCATTTAGGATCCTGTTCTCAGGTGGTGTTTTCTTGATATATTCTCTCCTTGGCATTGTCATTTACTCTCATAGTCCTAATAGTAGCCTCTAAAACAGCAGACTTCTAGCTATTTTTTAGTCATAGTAAACTTCTGAGCAACGTGCCTTTGTACCTTCAGTACCCTAACCTCTCCTTTTCAGAAACAGAACAAATATCTCCTTCCTTCCCCAGCACACACATGAACTTAGTCCCCAATCACTTTGGTGTTATAATTCTTTTTTTTTTTTTTTTTAATTTTGTTGGGGAACAATGTGTTTTTCCAGGATCCATCAGCTCCAAGTCAAGCAGCTGTCTTCAATCTAGTGGCCCATGCGGGAATCGAACTGACACTCTTGGTGTTATGAGACTGCGCTCTAACCACCTGAGCTAACCAGCCGCCCCAATAATTCTTTTTTTTTAAAGATTTTATTGGGGAATTGGGGGAGGGGAACAGACAAGTTGCTGTCCTTTTGTTCTTCAGTCTAGTTGTAGAGGACGTTGTTTCACTGGCCCATGTTGGTATTATCATTGTGCTCGTTGATGCAGTTGCTCGTTGGCCATTGGATGGCCGCTCACAGCGGCTCATGCCGGCTGCCGGCCGCTCACAGTGGCTTACGGCAGTCCACTACAACTGGGTCTGCAACCTACGCCATTGCCGTTGACTCACGGCAGCCCAGCTCCAGGCGGAGCTGTTGTTCACCATCTTAACTGTAGAGGGTGCAACACAGCGTCATAGGCCCTCATGTGGTATCCCTACCGGGGCCCTGCTGCTCAGAGCTGGCATCCCAAACCAACTCTTTTTTTAAAAAAGATTTTATTGGGGAATTGGGGGAGGGGAACACTGTTGGGGAATCGGGGAAGGGGAACAGACAAGTTGCTGTGTTTTTTGTTCTTCAGTCTAGTTGTGGAGGACGTTGCTTCACTGGCCCATGTTGGTATTATCATTGAGCTCTTCCTGGTTGAGGCAGTCACTTGCCGGCTATTGGACGGCTGCTCCCAGAGGCTCACAGCAGCTCAGAAAGCTCACGGCCAGCTGCCTGCCAGCCCCACTGCAGCCTACGCCATTGCTGGCGACACAGCAGCCTAGTCCCAGGTTGAGCTGTTGTTCACCATCTTAGCTGTAGAGGGCGCAGCGTCACTGGCTCTCATGTGGGATACGAACTGGGGCCCTGCTGCTCTGAGCTGGTGTCCCAAGCCAGCTCTTAACTAACGTGCCACTCGGCTAGGCCCCAAGCCAACACTTAACCAACACTCCACTCGACCCAGTAATTATAATTCTTGAACGGTGCAGTAATTTCAAAGACATTTTTTGATATTTTAGTAGCTGCATAAATAGTAAGTCTTGAAGTAACCTTAGCAAAATTAAGGAATTTGCTATGCACAAAACCATTTCTCTAAAGAGGTTAGCTTTTTCTCTGATTTTCTTTGAAAAAGCTCTACAGTATTAGGAAGCAGGTCTTTTATGTTGGTGGCAATGATTATAAGGAAGAAGGCAAGTTACATAGGAAAAAGCATGAGTGATTTAAAACTTTTCCTTATGGAATATATCAAACCTGTATAAAAGTAGAGAAAATCGTACAATGAACTCATATAACATTACCAGCTAAGCAGTCATCAACTCAAGCCAATCTTATTTCACCTATGCTTATACTAACTCTTCCCTTACTTCTGGATTATTTTGAAGCAAATACAAGATATCATGCAATTTTATCAGTAAATCAGCATGTATCTAAAAGAAAAGGATTTAAAAAAGATCACTACCTTTATCTCACATAAAAACATGGTGATTTCTTAATAAGCATAACTGATTGGAAGGGGGAATTGAGAGAGCATTTCTGTAGCAGGTACTCTGTACTATCTTTTTTAGAGTTTGCTCTGTAGTTTCGTTTTTTTATAGTGAAAAATTTTTATATTTAGAATTAGCCAGCTGGACTCAGTTTAGATGATCCCAATATTGTTGGCAACATCCAAAGCACCATAGTCAGGAGCCAGTTGAACATATGCCTTCTTCTCCATCAGGCCTGATCAGGGTGTTGACCTCAGCCAGGTCAGTGTCATAGAGCTTCTTCACAGCCTGTTTCATCTGGTGCTTGTTGGTCTTGACATCCACAATGAACACAAGTGTATTGTTGTTTTCTATCTTCTTCATGGCTGACTCTGTAGTTGGGGGGACTTGATGATGGCGCGTAGTGGTCAAGCTTGTTTCTCCTGGGGGCGCTTTTCCCAGGATATGTGGGCTGCCTTCAGAGTTGCAATGTTTTGGGCCTTTGGAAGGTGAGTGATGTGGGGATCCTTTTTCTTGTGGCTGTGGACGCCTTTCAGCACTGCTTTCTTTGCCTTCAAAGGCTTTGGCTTGGGG